AAAAAAAAAAAAAACCCAAAACCTGTACAGGGCATTTCCAGTAAATCAAAGAACTCATCATATCTCCACTTAACCATCTACTTCAGGATTTGAAATTTAAGCAGTAAAATAATATATTATAAAAATGTTTATAAAATAGCAGCACACTCAGTGAAACAATACAGCTAAGTACTGTTAATGTGAATAAGAATGAAACAAATCATAGCTTCTTAGCAGCGCAAAAAAAAACCAAAACCCAAAACCAAAAAACCCCCCAAAACCAAAAACCAACAAAACCTTAGAATCTTACTCCATTTTCTACCCTCATCTAGCCAAACAGGCTGAGTCCATACATATAATATTCTTCAAAGTAGCATGTTCTTTCTGGATTTTTGTCTTAAAAATGCAAACATTAACATTTCAACCAACAGCTTCATATTGGGTATCTGCAAACTGTTAATACAACTGTGCAACAAAAAAAAAAAAAAAAAACAAAAAAACAAAAAAAAACCAAAACAAAACAACAAAACCTCAAAAGTTGCTCCAACTCCTTTGTCATCTAAATGCCTCTTCATTACAGGTGGAGCAGGAAAATAAATTCAAGTACACTGAACACATGTTTGTAATAAAATTCCAAGTCACGAACCTTGATGTTTACCACCACGGCTGTTGCACCAGTAATTTTCTTTCCTTGTCCATAGATAAGCATGCAGGTGGTATTAAGATCCTTCTGTGACCCTGAACATTACAGATGGTCAGGCTTTTATCCGGAATGTCATGACAGGAATGTCATCGGAAGAGGGTGTTGGTATTTCCAGCAACACCACAGCTAACCAAGTACACCAGATTCTGGAAAATATTGACTATAAAAAGCTATACAATGATTTGCTTTTGTGACTTCTTTCTTTTTTTTCCTTTTCTTTTTTTTTTTTCTTTTTTTTTTCTCTCATTTTTTTAAAAAATTTTCTTTCCTTGGCAAAATTGTCATAAACCATCTCATTTAATCCCTTAGGAACAATTTTCAAAGTGCTTTTCGAATGAAATGGTTTACAAAAACGCTCACTGTGGATCAATAAAGTTCATGAAATGCTGAAAAAGTGTGTGGGGGGAGTGGGGGAACAGAGATGAGGGATCAAACCAAACCTCATCTTCTTTAACACAGTGAGGGGCTGTCACAAGGAAAAATGGACAGAGCATCATTTAAATGTCTTTGTGGCCAAGCTAAGAAGCTGCCAAAAGTTAACACGGACGTGAAGCATTACAGCTGTAAAGGAATATAATGTTTTTCCCARATGATGCATCACATCTTGCAAACCAAAGGTTGGAGGAGGGTCTGCCCAGCCAAYAGATCGGGATTGTGTGCATTCCCCCTACTGAATGTGAACACTTGGGAACTTTGGCTCGGCCCAGRGCTGGGTAAACGGAATTGCCCTCATGCCAAAGATGCTGCTGTGTTTAGAAYGAACCATTTCTGAATGAAAAGTAGAAAAAGTCAAGAGGAGGGGAGGGGAAATTGGAAAAAAAAAAAAGAAAAAAAGTAAAGTAAATCAACTGAAGAAAAACCCCAAAAGACACCTGCTCCTCTGGCTGGTAAAATAAAGCATCTTCTTTCTTAGGTAGCAGCTACCACAGACAGCAAGAGTAAACAAAACTACCATACAGAGTTCCAACAAACACTTCTGACTAATAATAGAGGTGACCGATCAGCAAATCACCTCTGCATTCAAAATGGTTCAATTGCTTCAGGGATCTTCTCCCACTTTGCCCTAAACCCCTTATTCTATTGCTTTGCAATCTAGTCAAGCCATAAAATCGCACACACGATTCCTTTCTTAAGTCTAAAAAAAGGGGTGTATGCACTACTTTGTAATACACAGACAAGTATACGCTACTTTGTTCCCACAAATGCAGGCTTACATTGATCTATCTACTTTGTATGCTTTTATAAGCATTTAATATCACTGATACATAATCAAATAGCAGTTACCAAATATATTGTGGGATTCCCTTCTGTAGAACATCACAGGCACCAAATGTTTGGGTTTTTTTTCATTTTTAAGTTTTTGTATGTTTTTTTTTTTTTTTTAACCTAAAAGAGCTTTAAATATGTTCTATGTGGGAGCAGATTAAAAAAAAATTCACTCTAAAAATAATAACAAAAATAAAGGGTCTGGGGGAGCAAGCGTGAGTTTGTGTGCCGATGTCCTCACAGGTTGATGTCTCTCACATCTGTGGGAGTGCTGGCCTGGTCCAGTTCATCCACTGTCTTGGAGGGGTTGCTCTGCTGCTGCTGCTGCCGGACTTGCCGCAGGCTGTTCACGAGCACCGCCTCGATCTGTTCCTGACAAGCTTTAAGACAGTCCTAGAGAAAAGAAAGCAAATCCCTCTATTTGTGAAGATAAACCCATTTTTTTTTTCCTTAGTAGGCTAGCAGAATTTGGAAGAGCATCAGTCAATCTGGTATTCCCAAGAAGTGTCTGCTCTGACACAAATCAACCTTGAATTCTGATAGGTAACCACTGTGTACAAACTCCATAGTTAAACAGTGTTAATGCTCTGTTTATTAGACTCTACATCGTAGTATTCTACTGGTCTTTGCTCAACAGGGCTCCCACCGAAGCTGTGGCTGCCCCTGGATCCTTGGAAGAGTCCAAGGCCAGGCTGGATGGGGCTCTGAGCACCCTGGGACAGTGGAAGGTGTCCCTGCCATGGCAGGGGGATGGAACTTGATGATCTCTAAGTTCYCAGAAATAAATGCAAAGGATTCACCACATTTAAAGCAGACATGGCAATGAAGACTACTATTAACTTACAGTATGTTCCACATTCTTGATAATACACTGGAAGACCAAATAATCTGGTTATTTAAGAAAAAAAAAAGTGAGAAAACAGTGACAAACCCTGAGTTATACGAGTAAATTAAAAACAAAACCCAAGCTCTAAGTGAACACAAAGCCAACCATGTTCAGGGTGTTGGGACTGGGAGTGTCAATCTGATACCGTGCAGGGGGRCACATGGTAATATAAGAAATGGCATTTTCCAGAGGCAGTGCTGAGGAGTCCTTCTGGAAAAGGTAAATACTGTAAACTTCATATATTTTCAAGTGTGGGGACACCAGTATGGAGACTCTTGTAAAAGACAACACTCATAATGTGCTTTTTTGGGGTTTAAGAACTCTTTTAAACCACATTTCAAAGTACTGCGTCCTTCTGAAAACAAGCCAGATTTTTTTTTAAGCAGCTTCCAGCTGAAAAGTTTAATGAGGCAATTTCCTTGCAGGCAGGCTTGGGGAAGGAAGGGTGGTGACATGCGGAACATGAGGCTTGWGCATTTGGAGTCAGCTTTGTCTGTTCCTAAACACCCTCATGTATGATCATTTACACCATCACTATACAAACTTCTGATGGGCAGTGTGATGATTCACGTAATGAATGAAAAGGCTGAAATCTCCAAGTAACCCTACAGAGAAATGAGTAATTTCTGATATCTTCATTTTGTAAATGAAAACAATTAAGTGGCCTCGACTGGAATTGTCACATGAATTTTATTTCATATGGGAATCCACAGGCCACTGTGTATCATTTCTCTGGTCTACACTTAGGTCTTGAACTTAAAATCACCAAATTCTTTAAAACAAAGAAACTTACAGTAAAATTATCAGCAYACTGCATTCAACATGAAATAACTTTCCAAAAAAGTGTTGCTATTTGCATACTAAAGCTCCTTGGAAGTTAATCTCACAGGTGAAAGGAAAAAAAACCCTAATTCAGTATATCTTATCAGCCCAGCTGTCAGAGCGTGATAAGGCAAGTGGCTTTATTGTATAGATGAGGGCACTACTGAACTTTCTGTCAATCCAAAGTTAAGGGACACGATAAAAAAAATACTAAAAACCCATCAGGACCAACAGCCTGGCCTTCCCATGACATAGCATTTTAAACCCCTCCCAGTTTCATGTGGATTTGCTGCATGGGTACATATTTTACTGCTGGATTTCCATTTCACAAGCTCTAAATAGCACTGACTACAGAGAATTAAGTTTTAAGAACGTCTCAAAGAAAAACCCCATGAATTGCATTATTTTCAGCAAATCTTCCTTGAAAGAACACTACAATGCACTGCAGTAATGACCCCAGATTTTGCAATACAAGGACTAGGCCATTCCTTCAGAATACTGCAGAGTTTGCCTTTGTTGTTTTTATAAAAAAAACCTTTTAAAGTGTATGTCACATGGATCAACTTCCCCATTCTTCTATATGGTCTAGTAGTTTTAATGATTAAAATAGTTCTGGTACTTTCCATTCCATAGTTTTATTTTTACTTGAGCATGTACAGAACTAAAAAGGCAATTAACTTTCAGGTTTCCTTTTTTTTTTTTTTTTTTTTTTTTTTTTTCTTTCATTCTGAAACTCTGTCATCCCTAGGTGATTTTACCAGCACGCTTGAAATGCATTTGAAGGGAAAGAAAAGCCTCTCTGTGCCTGATGAGGGGCAGCCTCACAGCTATGCTGGAAATGCTGGCAATGAAAATAACTGGAAGGAGGAATCAGCAGCTCTGTGGCATGATCTAGTTACTCAAGTCAAYAATCATTGAAGATTTTAATTTCCATTCACGAATGGAATATAGAAAGAATACACAAGTCCTAGGCAAGATCCTGCAGAATATTACATGTAATTCACTTTCTTGAACTTTTCATGACTATTATGGTACATGTATGCTCTATACTGGCTCCCAGCTTCCAGTTTTAAACTGGCATTCATGGTTCATTGGCAAGCTGTGAGGCAAGGCCTCCCACTCAACTCAACTCAACCAGCAGGCTCTTGCTTTGTACTGCCCMAGACGGCAGAGCTGGGAATGCTAAAAGAGCCTTCTGGCATTTTTGTGTTAAAGAGTGGTCAGTTTTTCACATATATTAATTATTTCACAAATAGGTGTTAAGGCCCMGATCTCTTCTTTTTTCTTCAAACTAATTATAGAAGGGAAATCAGAAAAGGACTTTTTTTARATGCAGGATCTAGTCTGATAAAGGGAAAGTATGGTGGAGATACCTGAAATGACAATACTGTTCCCTGGTCATGTATGCATTGCTTGGATAATCAAAGAAAGCAGCAATCAGACATGCATTGAAGAGTTGAGATTTACATAAATTCCAGTGTGGAACATGTCATCTGTACTCCYACACAAAAGCCAGCTGGATTCCTCCACTGGTTCACATTTAAGCCCCAATTCAGACTTCTCCAAAGCACATGCTTCATTGTTGACATAAACAGGGACTCCTTCCCAAAGTGGCCTTTGTGTGCTGAGCGCCGGCCTTTACCTCACTGACCTTCTCCAAAGCAAGAGCTGCAAAGCTGCTGCGAGAATATCTTATCTATTTCCTGTATTTACAGTGAGCTCACATCTCGTGGATGCAGTTTACAAACAGAAATACCTTCCCTCCTGAATGTGCGTTTTTACTGCTGTAACGAAAAGCATCAATCACAGATAAGTGACTATGCCTCTTTTTCCATCTGGAAGTATAGAAAATAGCAATTTGCTGTTCCAAAGGGCATGTCATATAGACTAACAACAAGGACATCTCATTCAAAAACTGAAAAAAACCCCAACACCTTCATCTATACCAGAACTTCTCTACTTACTGTTGCCACATTATTGCAAGAATGTAATAGGTAAGGTGACTAACATCACAGATGTGAAATATGGGACATTTTTCTCTGCAATTTTTTTGTCTTTTCAGCAGTTTCAGAAGGGTCTTTTCTGGACTCAGTTCCAGTTTGCTTCACCACTCAGTTCATTGGTTTCCTGCTGCTCCTGTAGGTATTTCTCATTGCAAACAGAAGAGGACAATGTTTTCAGAACTGGGAAAAGCGAGAGTAAAGCCAGAACAGCAGCAGAGCGATCCAGAGGTAGATGCCATGACACTTCCTGCTCAGTGTGACTCGGGATTTCTGGTAATCTCGACCAGATAATCCTCCGGAGATACGAGAAGGTATGGGATTACCCCACTCTAACCAACGCCCCAAGGCTTGATGGAAGGGGATTTTAAGGAAGCTGGAGGAGCAGAGCTGCAGGATTTTAAGGAAGCTGGAGGAGCAGAGCTGCAGGATTTTAA